AAAATTAATTTTAGTAAGTTACTTTTATTTCTTTGTTTTCATGTTTATTCTTTATTTATTATTATGAAAGTAACTAAAATTAAAAGTATGGATCTTTTTAAGATATTTGAGATTGGATTATGTAAAATAAGTAATAATAATAATATAATTAAAATGGATTACGAGCACGCATGCAAGCAGCTCATGGGTAATGTAATTCGATAGCGTAACGTGAGCCGCACGTTCCCCAAGTGATTGACAACTTTTATGGTGGGACTAGCAGTTAGATATGGTAAGAAGGGCAATACAACATTAAAACTTAATTATAAATATATGTATAATGTTACAAACTTAGAGCTACTTAGGATAAATGAATGTAGTTTCAGGTTGCAATCTGAAGTCATTCTAAAAAGAAAAGAAGGCTAATTTAGGTTTATTTCGATTTTTATTTTTTTTTGGTGGTTACGAGGTTGGTTGAATTGACCGATACCATTTTGAGATAGGGTAGAGAAAATAACATAAAACTATAAGGATTTAGTGGAAAAAAAAACCGTTTGAAATGCATTTAGGAGGTTTTAGGGATTACACAAAGGAAATTTGAAATTTTTTAGATGACAAAAAGTATTTTTAATTTTGACATGAAAATCACTTTGCCCTGAGACTAGTTAAAAAAAAGAATAGATATTTTCACGGACAAGTTTAAGTAAAAAATACTTCATTAAAAAATTTGATTTTTTGTATGCAAATGGCTTCTAATGTTTACTATAAGTCTACAGAATTTTGAAAAGATACACTTAAAATATTAAAAGTTATTAGCATGTAAACTATAACTATGGTTATGAGGTCGGTCCCAGGGACCGAGCCCGTGTCGAAATAGTTAACCACTTGTGTTACATAACACAGGCTTCTCATGATTGTAACTTGAGAAATGTTTTTTTTTATTATACTTTAATTTACCTAATCTAACCTTTCCTTACTTAAAGAATTTTTAATTTTTACATTTTAGGTACTTTTATAATAATAGATAAAGAATACACATAAAAGACAAGAAATAAATTACTTATCTGGGATTTTTTTTTTCGTTTTGACTGTGGACACTTAGCCCTACTTTTTTATACTAATGGTACTACTGCACTAATTACTTTTTTATTTGATTAAACAATGCACCAAGAACACAGAATAATAACATTCAAAAAGAAGACAATGCCCCATACCTATCACAATTTTTTGGCTTTCTAACTATGTGACAGGAGCCGTTGGTAATAAATAATATAGTGTTAAATGTTAGAGAGAGAGAACTATTGGCAAATTTTGAAAGGAAGGATGTGACAGGTAGGTGTAGCAAGAAGGTCTGATTTTATACTTATGGCTCTGTAACTAAATATGAGTGAAGGCTATAAAATTATGCTTTGCCTGAGCAATAACAACATTGTAATGAGTAATTTATGTTAAATTTTGTACTTCTTGGAAGGATGGTAAATAAATTAGAGAAGAGTGGATGTCTAGAGAGCAGCTGTCACAATTCTCATACTAGTATTTTGTTTTGATATTGCCTTATGAAATTAAGAACTCTAAATGTAAATAACGTTAAAATTTGGATTATTAGCTACATTTTTATGCTAAGTTTATTTGTAGAAGATGACAAGAAAATAGTTAAATAAAGTTTTGAATATAACTCTGAAAAATATCGTGGCATGCACATAAAAGGATACACATAGGGAGAGGGTTAATCTGTTAGAAACTAAATAAAAGGTGTAAATTTACACCACAGCCTTGCACAAATTAGTTGAGCTAGAATACAGGATTTCCATTTACTTATATGTAGAAAAAAAAGAATTGCAAAAGGAAGTGCAATAAATATATTTTCTCTATTTGGTCTTCTAGTTAGCATAATACTTCTCCAGTGTGGCCCTTCACTTTAACCACTTGTGAGGTACAGTATATTACTCATACTTATTTCTTGGAGGGGAGGTAAAGAAAAAAATAAGGCCACTTTGAAGATTTAGGCTTGGCCTACCTTGTAATAGATGCTTACAGAGACAGTAATGTCAGGTTATAGTACTTTTAATCCTGTGGCTACTGTAGCCATTTTGTCTTGCCCTGAGGACAAAATTGCACTTATAAATAAAAAAAAGTATAAAGAACTTATTGAAAATTTTATTTCAGATTCAATTTTTTTAAATAGAGGCATAATATTTAAATATTTGAACTAAATTGTGTTATTTAACTCTTTCAGCACAGGCTTGGCACCTGGGACCGGCCTCGTAACCATTTTTTGCTTGTTATAGTATAGTTTTCATGCTATAACTTTTAAATTAGTAAGTGAATGTTACCGAAATTTGGCACATTATCAGTAAACATAAAAATGTTTTCATATGCAAAATATCATTTTTTTTTTATTAAGTCTTAAGGTTTGTAAAGCAATGTTTTTTTCATGCCTTTTATTCTTTTCACACATTGCTTATCTAGCATGCAAAGTAATTTTGATTTTAATATTAAACATACTTTTATGCATCAGAAAATTTTCAAATTTCACATGCAAAATTTCAAACATTTCTTATGAAAAACTTTGTTTTATCTGTTATTTTCACTAATGAATCTCTGTATGGGTTCAGTTGATTTGACCAATCTCGTAACACCATCAAAAATTAGGGAATAAGTATAAATTATTACTCTTTCATTCTGCTATGAACACAAACTATAACACGAAAACATAAATGTTTAAATTAAATAGCTCAAATCTCATAACATTATATATTTATTATATTGACTTTTCAGCCACACCTGGCTAGCAATACAGAAGTTACAATTAATCAACACTTGTTACAATTTCCAATAACATAAAACTGACCTTTGGTCTGTACAAAGTAATTTGTCTTGGCTGTGTTTTAGTGGACTAGTATTTTGTAAAATACAGTCACATTTAAATTATTATACATTATATATGTGTATAGATTCTTGCTATTTAGAAATATGTTCTTAAACTTATTTTTTTTAAAACGTAGAACAGTAAATAAAGAAGTAAAGCAAACAATTATCTCTTCTAGTTA